TTCGTGGTTATTGTGCCTTCATCATTTTGCACGTTGTTCCTGACTTGAATGGTGTTCTTCTTTCTTTGTTCTTTGCATTCTTATTTTCTTACTCCTCTGCCTCTCTGTCTCTCTCTCCCTCCTCTCTCCCTCCTCTCCCCCTCCTCTCCCTCTCTCTCTCCCTCTCCCTCTCTCTCTCTCTCTCTCTCTCTCTCTCTCTCTCTCTCTCTCTATGCGTGTTCCGTTTCTTGAATTCGTTAGGAGTGCTGAAATTCAACAGTTGGTTTGGGCCTAGCTTTTTTTTTTTTTTTTTTTTTTTTCTTTCTTTTTCGCGGGCATTGCCTGCACCGCTCGCACCGCGGGCGCTTAGCTACTTTTGATAATTGGGAAGCCAATATCAAGTCCTTCTTGCACCTACAAGATATCACGCCTGAGAACCATGTTCTTGCGGCCTTTCAGGCATTAAAGAAAAAAGCGGCCAGCTTTGCTAGGGCACTTGCACGCGCTGCCAAATGTGACAACGATGTGGTCACATACTCCTCCATCACTTAAGTGAGTTTTGGTCCGCCCTTCATAAACGATTTGCAGATGTCACTAGAGGCCTCAAGGCATTTGACAAATTGCAATCCACACGCGACAGTGGAGGAGTGCAAGGGCACTCGAAGCCGTCATGGATGAACTCGAGGGTGGTCTAGAAGAGGTCCCTTACAACGAGATCGAGTGGGACCTAGACGAGACAGACAGTAGTGAAGATCAGGGGAGTACCTATGCTGTTGTTGCTGCAAGAGGGAGGTTGCAAGGGAGAGGAAGGGGCCAAGGCCAAGGTGGCCAGGCCTCTGGTGGTCGAGGGTAGGGCGGTCGGGGGGTTGGTGGTAGAGGAAACAGCCAAGCGGGAGGCAGGGGTCTAACCGCCCTCGCTCAAATCGGTTACCTCCCAGAACGGGTGGTTGGCACCTTGGTCGGCTTGAGAGCCGTCCTTTGGAAACGTTGGGCATTGAGGAGAGACAGACAGAAAAGGATAGATGGATTTCAATGTGTCTTTTGCGGCGATCGTAGGCACATTATCAAACATTGCCCAAAGTGTAGGAATGCCTGGCGAGCTGCTGCTGAGGGAGCTAAAGGAAACCGTCGGTAGGGGTAGCAACTGCCCTTACCACTGGGCCACGTGGAGATGAGTGAGCGCGCCAAGTAGAAACTCCCACTCCATGTGTGTCGACGTCAGAGGTTGCTGGCCAGCGTCTAGTTAGCTGTCCAAAGACTGCTTGTGTTAGAGTCTCTCTAGGCGCTTCCCTCACAGGCCAGGCAAAAGAGTTGAAGGAGAGAATGCCAACCTAGGCCAAGATGAAAAAAAAAGGTGAAGGACAATTGTTGTTAGAAGATGTAGAGATTTTAGAGGCAGAGTAGGGACCCTTATAAACAGTGGGGCCACTCGCAACTACGGTAGCTGTAACGCGCTGAAAATGTTAAAGCTTAGCTTGGAAGTCCAAAAGATAGAAGAGCCTATAGTCAGTATCCTCGCTGCCAACCGCACTATGCGAGTTGAGGATTATGTCGAGGGGGTCGAGGCGTATTTTCGCCTAGAAGTAGATGGGAAAGTAGAGAGAGTTCTCCATTCCCCGACTCTCCTTGTCGAGGATGATCTTCCTTTTGATATGGTGTTAGGTATGGCAGCAGGAGCCACTCTCGGGGAGCCACACTGCACTTGCGAGAGCACGAGTGTAGGCTTCCTAGTCCTTCAGGTGGTGTCAAGAAAGCCCGCCCGTTTCATGTGTCAGGAGTAGACAACTCCTTATCACATTGCTGTCTCAGTGCTCCTACGTTTGGGTGATCAGTTAAGAAGGAGCAGTTAGAAGAGCAGGTCTTTGTGGCCTATGTTAGGCCAGTCACCGAGCGTAAGGAGGAACCGACCAACCCAATTATTGCCAAGTTGCTGGAAGAGTACGCAGATCTGTGAGAACCTCCTTTAGTAGTCTCGCGTCCTATCTAGCATCGCATTGAGATAGAGCCTGTCAGTAGAACTCCCAAGGGAACAGTCAATAGAATGTCTCCTATGGAGCTAGAGGTGGTGTGCAAGCAGCTAGACGAGCTCCTTGAGAAGGGTTGGATTAGGCCCAGTTCGTCTCCATTTGGAGCGCCTGTTCTCTTTGTACCCAAGGAGGGGGGAAAGTTGAGAATGTGTATTGACTATAGGGTCTGAACGCAGTCACGATCAAGAATGCCGAACCACTGCCTTGAATAGATGAGCGACTTGATCGGGTGCAAGGCTGCAAGTACTTCCCCAAACTACAAGTGATAACGAGAAAGTAAATACAACCATAAAAAGATGATCAGTACAAGACAACGTTCAGGACCAGGTATGGGCATTACAAGTTCATAGTGATGCTCTTTGGACTAACCAATGCACCGACCACTTTCCAGCGTGGTATAATCGATTTGTTTAGGCCGTGGCTAGATAGGTTTGTAGTCGTTTATTTAGAGGATGTCTTAGTTTTTAGCAAGGCCCTCCAGGAGCATGAGGCTCATCTGAGGCAAATCTTGGAAAAGTTGCGAGAGGCAAATTTCAAGATCAACGCAAAGAAGTGTGAATGGACCAAGACCGAAATCCTGTACTTGGGTCATGTCTTAGATGGTGATGGCATAACACCTGAGGACAACAATATCGCAGCGATCAGAGACTGGCCAACTCCTCGTACACTCACGGAGTTGAGATTGTTCCTAGGATTGGCTAACGACTATAGGAATCTCTACTGGCTACCTACTCTGTCACACTTTGTCTAGTCATCAAGTACCGTGTGGGACTCTGTGCACACCGGGCCCAGGGTCCAAGGGCAGAGCTACGATGATCCGAAGTATAAATAAAGAGGCAGCGTCAAGCCATGGATTCATTCTGCCTGTGAGCCGTGCGGAAGCGCCGTTGGAGCGTCTTGTGCTACGGAGGTCTGCAGGTGCCCGAAGAGGAAGAGGGCTAAGAGGAGGAAGACACGGCCATAGGCGCGAGTTAGTGGTAGGAGGTAGACGGCAGCCATAGCTGCCACGTAGGAGGCTAGTGTGTGTGTGTGTGTGTGTGAGTGTGTGTGTGTGTGTGTGTGTGTGTGTGTGTGTGTGTGTGTGTGTGTGTGTGTGCGGGACATCCAGGGTGATCCAAGAGTCAGCGTGTGTGTGCAAATAAGTTGCTGGAGGATACAGTTGATTGGCTGGGAATTTTTGTTTGGCGCCCAGCGCCATAGCCATTTCAAGACAAGTTTGAATCCGAGCTGTGTTCCTGGCCTCGTTTATCTCTGAGCTTTGTGTGGGCGCCGTGCGCCAGTTTGATCGTCATCTGTTTGTATGCACGCTGAAGCAAGTTTGAGATGAGTCTGATTGCACTCGCATGTATTGTTCGTCACTAATGGCCTCCTTTTTTTTACATGGAATCATAAAATACGATTTGATGTGCAGATATCGCTTGCACTGCATTCCTCTCCGATGATTATGTCGTTGTCTTTTGGGAAGAGATGCTACGGCGTGATCTTCGGAGATATAATCCTTCTGCTAAGGATTTCAACAAGGTATGGAATGGAATTGTGTGCCTTCTTCCTTCTGAGAAATGACTTGCCTTCTTGACCTGTGGCAGAATCGTGCTCGCTCCTTCTGCTACGTACAGTGAGAACGGAAGACTGTGCTTGTATGAACTGCGCAGGAACCATCCGTACCTTTTTATGTTTAGCAATCAATTATCTTTTCTTATCTCCCCCCCTCCCCCTCCCCTCTCTCTCTCTCTCTCTCTCTCTCTCTCTCTCTCTCTCTCTCTCTCTCTCTCTCTCTCTCTNTCTCTCTCTCTCTCTCTCTCTCTCTCTCTCTCTCTCTCTCTCTCTCTCTCTCTGTGTGTGTGTGTGTGTGTGTGTGTGTGTGTGTGTGTCTGCCTGTCAATTTGTCAGCGATTACAAGCTGGTAAATTTGAGCTACAAGCGTCGGTTGGTCTGGCAGTCCATCCGTCTAAGTTCGCACGCACTTGACCTTCTATCCATTCTCAGGAGAGACATGCTGGTTCCTTTTCCACGGGCAACTTCCAGGGCAAGTGATAAGATATTAAGAATACAAAAAGCTTCTGTCCGTTGCAGGTGAGAGACTCTGAGCCGTCTCTGATACCCAAATTACTGCAAATAATTTTATGTACTGCGCCTACGTTTTAAAACTGTTACATTGGCAATAGGTTCATATGTGATGCCAGTGGCGAGCCCCTGCCCTGGCACAGGCCGCAGGGAGCTTATGGATGGAAGTGGGCAGAGCAGGGCATTTACAAGGTGGGCCACCGATGGGATGAGGACCGAAGGGACTGATGGTGGTGGTATCCCTCCAGGTTAGGATGAGGAGCAGGCGGAGGGTGGGGGAACTCTGGGAGGCTATACCTCCACGATTGATTGACTTGTTGAGAAAGGACGACATCATCCCAGGGGAATGGGTGAGGATGCGGGGAGACTTTAAACTGGAGAGAATATACAAGGTGGAGCAGGTGTTGGAGGACGGAACTTCACGGAAGGCTACAGGTCACCGGTTGGGGTGTGAATACGGGCTATGAAGGTCTGGGGGAACCCTTGCAGGAGAATGCGGGGGGGAAAGGGAACCCCCAGAAAAGCCCGGACATGAGTGAAATTGAAACGGTCACAGTGTGTGAGGGAGGGAAGGGGTGGGGCGGACAGTACCTTCCCTTCTGTATTGTGTCCAGGCGGCGGGATTTGGTATCGGATCCCAGAAAATGGGAATGGCCGAGACAAAGAATGCAAAGGACAGACGTGCCACTTTAGAACCTTACTACCAAGAATATCTATAGCTCCTTCCAAAATATCTATAACTCCTTACTGGAGCCGGTAAACATCCGTGAGGAATTGAGGACTCGATGGGCCAAGAGAAACTGGATCCCTGACATATATTTTGGTAGATGGATGCAACGAAGGTGGAATGAGCAATGTGCACTTCTGGCAGCCCTGCCAGATCAGAAACAGGCAGGCCTCTTATGGCAGCTGTACCATCTAGCGATCCCTACGGCACAGTGGTTGGCAACTAAGAGGCGACACAAGGACCAGAGATGTGTGACAGGTTGCACACGTGGAAATAGTGCACCACTTGTTTCTAGGATGCTCGATAGTGCGGGCCTTTTGGGAGTGGTGGGCATGAGAGATAGCGGATAAAACCCGGCTTGAGGTCATGGAGGAGGAGGATGCGGGGGCACTGATGAAAGTGGACAGGGCAAAACCAGAGGACCTGATGACAGCCGAAATTGTGAGGGCGGCGGTGTTGTGGACCTTGTGGACACTGAGGAACGAATGCTGCAGACAGGGTACCTCTCCCCCGCTGCAGATTTACCAGGATAGGGCACTAAAAAATATCCGGGTGGTTCTCCTGGCAGATTGGCAACGTAGCAGAAACACAGGAGAGGGGAAGGATGAAGGGTTCTGGGCCAGATGGGGCTCATACCCGCAGCTGCTCGCCAGAGAACCCCAGACGGGCCACACGATGTTCGGTCTGCTGCTTCTATGTCAAAGACCCCGCTCAGACATGATGGAAGAATCCGAAGAGGGAACTGATTAGTTAAGGAAAAGCAAACGATAAGTATAGTAGTTAGGGGGGCGGGGGGATAGGCGGTAAGTAGGACTACGGAGTTAGTGCGGCAAGTGCGTAGTGCGGCAAGTGTACAATATTAGGGGAAGGAGATCAAAGTAGAGGGAGTAGGACCAAAGGACAAGGGGGGGGATAGGGTGGATACAGAGGAGGAGGGGGGGATGGGTGAACAGACATCACAATACACCAGAGACACCAAAATACAATAAAAATCTGAGTATGGACGCCGCCCGCGGCCAGGCGGGGCCGGGTGGGCCGCCCGGGCAAACCGGGCGGGCAAAAAAACAGCCCGGAATTTTTTTTATTTTTTTTTGAAGGCGGGGTCCTCCTGTGCTCGGCGAGAGGACCCCGAATCATATAACCCCAATAAAAGTTAGTAGGCGACGGGGCCGACTCTCGCATCTGCGATGGTCCACGTAAGTGTTTTTGCATTGAGAAACGTGAGACGTCCGATGTAAAATTCTGACATGCGATCGTTTGCATTGTGAAGTGTCAGACGTCCGATGTAAAATTCTGACGCAGTATGCCTGACGCATCTGATGCATTTGGCGTTTGTTTTTTTCTCGGGCGAGTCCGGTTCCGTTTCGTTTTTGGGTTCTCTTTTATGCTTTGGGCCTCGCTGCACTACTCTTGAAATACGGACAGATACACGGTCATGATTTTTGTTTTTTGTGGATGTCGAGAGTTTTCGTTTTTGCGTTCTCTTTTATGCTTTGGGCCTCGGTGCACTACTCTTGAAATACGGATATCAAAAAAAAAAAAAAAAAAAAGAAAAGAAATACGGACATAGAGAAGTGTGAGACGTCTGATGTAAAATTCTGACGCGCCTGATGCGGCGTGCCTGACGCATCTGACAGGTTTGGCGTTTGTTTTTTTCTCAGGCGAGTCCGGTTTCGTTTCGTTTTTGCGTTCCATTTTATGCTTTGGGCCTTGCCGCACTACTCTTGAAATACGGACACATACACGGTCATGATTTTTGCTTCTTTTGGATATCGAGAGTTTTCGTTTTTGCGTTCTCCTTAATGCTTCGGGCCTAGATGCAATACTCTTGAAATACGGACAGATTTGGATGTCGAGAGTAGTGCAGCGAGGTCCTTTGTCGTTGGCTCTCGGTGGGTGCTTGTGGCCGGTCGGTGTTGGTGGGTGCTTGGGGCCAGTCGGTGGGTGCTTGGGGCCGGTCGGTGGGTGCTTGGGGCCGGTCGGTGGGTGCTTGCGGTCGGTCAGTGGTGCTTGGGGCTGGTCGGTGGGTGCTTGGAGC